AAAATTTTAAAAAAAAAAAAAAAAAAAAAAGTACAACCTTCGCATAGTTCACTTGTCACTTTCTTCGTGACTGCGTTAAATTAATACATGTAATCCTTATTACTCCTCATTTTAAAATGGCTGTTTCAAACCGTTATCTACTTATAAGACAGAGAAAAATAACGTACGATAAATTGACGTCATTTTTTTAGATTTTACTCTTTTAATATTTTTCTTATTTAACGCCACCTCGCTCGGCCGTATTGCGTAATCCCTTGTTTCTCATGTCCGGTCCAATTTTTTTCTCAACTTTTTCCGCTTCTAAAAGTGTTCAGCAAGTTTCACGTGTAAAGCCTCCTTTATCGTGTTTCCTCGTCCGTCGAGCATAATTGCGCGAGGCTGCACGCTTCGCTCTGTGATAAAAGTGACCAAGCGACCAACTCGGTATTAATTTCTCCCAGACGACTCCCCGACGGTACCGGGCAAAGTGGCAATATGGAGAACCTGGGTATAATTTCATATGACGAGCCAGTTAAACTTGCAGTGTGGCATAATTACCTAACTTGCTGGGCGAGCAGTGTGCAATTCCCAGGACGACAATACCCGGATGTTTCCTTAGGACTTCCGTTTATACCTTGCAGGATTAATATCTCCTTGCTCCCTGCAGATTCCAGTGACTAATGAAGAAATTAGTAGCCGAAGTTTGTCTGTTTATTTTTTAATATTTAATTTCACGCAACTAGTCTCTAAGTGAAATTTAATTATTAAACAAATTTCATTCTCAAATTTTGATACAAACTTTTTTCCTCTTCGAGTTGATAATTTTTACCACCGTAAAAAATAAAAATATTCTAACACAAATAGTAAATGGCAATTATCGTTAGTCGTTCAATCCGAATTACCATAGGACAATATCAGTAGATCCGATTAACTTAATCAGTCCCAATTAATGCTCTATAAATTTACATATCAAAGGTGCCTGAATCGTGACCACATATGTGGCCAGACCGAGGGCAAAGGTCAGCTGGTTATATCAAAATAACTTAAGCTACCTCTTCACTGACCCCGTCCTCCATAATCTATTCAACATTATTAAAGCTACGTAATATTGGTACCACGTAACAATTGTCTTCGGTGTGAACGTTAATCTTCGACTTTTCTTCTTTACACCGGAGTAACCCTTATCGGTGACTTCGGGGGTCTAGGGAGTTTGAATGTAGTCGACGAAGAAGAGGTCCAAGTAGAGCAAGAACAAGAGAGCTTATATCAGCATACGCCAAGGCTCCACCATGCTTGCCAACCCGGTGGTTCCATAAGAAATTATCCTGTGGGAATATTAAAAAAAAAAAGAAGTTACCCCAACAGCCATAGAACAAAGGGTAAGCAAAGAGCCCAGGGGCGAATAAATATCTTGGAAGGTAAACTCACCCTTAAAAATTCACTCACGTATTTACGATCCCCGCTGATGTTGATTCAATGATTGTTTTTTTTTAAAGCAATATGGCCGCCAGCTATTTTTAAATTTGTTACACGAGTTTAAGGTCTTGCAAAGCAGAAGCGGTTGGTACTACTTCTCTGATATTGCTACCCTCTCGTCATTAAGTACTTCTTGAAGACGGTTCAGTCGTACGATTATTGTATATCAACTCCCAACCCCCTTTAACTCATTTTTTTTTCTCATTCTTTTATTTTTCTTGCGCGAGATCAAAGGATAAACCTTCTGATTATCATTCCTTTGGCAATCTGTTTTTAGGTAACTCTTATAGGCTGTAGATTCTGATTGAGAATTTCAATACCCTTTGTACCTCGATGGAATCATAATCCCTAGGGTATTCCAATCTAGGGAAATTCATCTGGAAATTTCACTAACTCAATCCGCTTCTCCATTTGACTATACAGTCAACCATCTTGAGTATGGCGTAGCTGTTCCATATTCTCTCGAGCTCATTGTCACTATTGGCCATGGGTTGTTCCTTGGATGCTTAGCTGGACCGAACATGGGTATCCGTATGGAACGACCCAAACAGGGATTTAGACAAATCCAAATGAGGATACTCGTTAATCCTATTTATACTTTAAATTTTCTGTAACTCAAAATACTTGCGCGTCAAAATATCAGATAAAGCACATAAATTGATAGCACCGTGAAAAAAAATAGCATTTGCACCATAAAAAATACTTAAAATCAAAAAAGCAAAGTTCCTAATCGAATAAAAAAATGTAAAAATCAATTTCCTGAAAAAATACTTCTTAGCTTGTCACCCAGTATTATCCTAACCCCCCCCCCCCCCA